AAAGAGAAAATACAGGTATTTTCACAATTTGTTGCCAGATTTTTTGTAGTCCTATACCCAAACTGTACAAATACAGCTGCAACACTTTCACCTTCGCTCTTGATAAATACATCTTTTTTGGTTGTACAGCTGAGGCTGCCTGTTGAGGGTGACAAGATGAAACACAGGGACACAAATTAACTGTGGACACTGTCACTGTGCAGGCAGCAGAGCAGGGTGCTGAGATGGAGGGACCCATAGCCTGGACACAGTCCAGTATTTGCTTTAGCGCAAAAAATATTTTAAAGCATTTTTGGTGACTTTCTTAAAACATAAATAAGTGAAGCACAGGCAGGTAAGACAATATTTTTCTGAGCTTCCTCTTTTCTTTGGCCTAAGTAAATAAGAGTGATTATTTTTATTTTAATTTTAGAGTTGCTTTTTTTTTTGGTTTTAGCAGAAAATAGAACTTGCTACCTAATGGCCCTTAAGTATGTAAAATTCTTACTATTTATAATTTGTTGATTTACTTTGAATAATTTTTCATAAAAGTATTGTGAAGACTTATACTTTAACCTTCTTCATCCTTGATTACTTTTCTTCCTGTATATTCAGGTTAGCTGGAGGTTTGAGAAAACACCTGTGGTGGTAGGGTCAGGGGGAGTTTAGAGGTTAGTAACCAATGTATAGAAAAGGAGTGGTCTATTTGAGGTTCATTGCAGAAAGGATATCACTGTTGATAAGGAAAATATGAGAAAGGGAGGCGTTTCTGAATTTTTCTTGAGAAACAGAACTTGACTTGGCATACTATAATTTATTGTAATATCCTAAAAAATGTTATACATTCATCTATTTCATGTTATTCTATTTTCTTTAATGTGAAAATCTTTATCAAAAAGTTCCTGTAGGATCTCAGTTGTGAATGGTCTTTGGTGTTTTTCTGTGCTGAGTTTCCTTTTCTGGAACTCTGCCTTCCCAGGTTTTCCACTACAAGCAGAAAACTCCTTCTCTTCAAACTACCTGTTTTGCTTGAATCAGATAAACCTAGAAACTGCCGCTACAGTTGCAATATCCAGGTCGGTAATTGCTGAGGGAAATGAGTCCCTCCAGGGTGTTCGCCTCGAGGCTCTACAAGTCGCTATTGCCAACAGCAGATTCAAAATTGTCAGCTCCTCGGGGAGCAGGTTGCAGTCCACGGTAAACACTGCAGATGAGCAAAGGGTAAATGGCTAGCGCTGTCTAACTGGGATACTTCAGCCCTTTCTTCTCCAGAGGAAAAGGAGCAACTGGAGGAACACAGTAAGAGATAACCTGTGTATCTATGCTAATGCTTTGTTTTATTTATTGCTATGGATTTACTTTACAGCACCTAATTTCATGTTTTACTGCAAGTGGTGTTAGAATACATAATGATTTCGTCTGTGTATTTATAACCTGTAAATGGCTGGGCAGGTTTCCATTCTAGGAGTGATTCTCTTAATGACAGTTAATATTGTTTGTCTAATGTACAGGTATTGTTGCATTTGTAGTTTATCCATTATCAGTTTTCTATCCTAATCTCTTACCTTTATGGACTACAGTCAGCACAGTATCTAGGCATGCCACCAAAATGGCACAATAATATTAAAAAATTAAAATTTTAATAACGTTTTAGAAATTTTCTTCTGATAGGAATAGTTAGGACTTTATTTTTTGCTTTTTTCTTCTCTATCTTCATTCTTTTTATTTTTATTTTCTTTCTCTGAATAACTTTTCTCAACAAAAATTGTCATAGTTAGGAATTTGCAGAAAGGCAATTTTGTACTAGACCCTCAGATCAGACTGAAGTTTCAGTCACCTTCAGGAGGACACATGCCAGAGTTGCGAATATAATGCCCCCAAGTGTTGCCTTCATCCCAGATGTTGACAGTGTCAGTATGGGTTATTGCATGATAACATTCATGTAATTGAGGAGACCCATTGCCTTTTAGTGCTGAGTAGGCATAAATTAGCCTGGATCTTCACAGAATCACAGAATCACAGAATCGCTCGCTTGGAAAAGACCTCTGAGATCATCATGTCCAACCGTTCCTGTCTACCCACATCCATCTTGTCAGAAGGATCTCAAGAAAACAGTATAATCTTGCCCTGTTCCTATCATTTTCCATAAGCATCCAGAGTTGGCCACAGGATACTGAACTTGATGTGTCTGCAGTCTGTTCTACTCCTGCTTTATGCTTTTATGAACCCAGTACAAACAAGGGGGTAATAGAGAGCACGAAGCATGTTTGTGATGTGCTGCCCACGCTAAAGCTGTTGCTCTCAGGGTCCCATTGAGCATTTCTATATGTTATCTCGCACTGTCAGAGCTGGAAATCCCATTCTTAAAGTGGGAGATTCTGAATTGCTTGATTTCCTCTTGAAAGGCAGAGGCAAATGCACTCTCTTATGCTGCCTGATCTGGAAAAAGTTGGTCTATGATACTCTTACGTATTTTTTACTAAAATTGCCAAGGAACTAGGCTTCACACTAAGACCAGCAATTGAGAAGTAGATTCATGCAACAGACAGCAATTCAAGGTTCTTTTAAAAAATACGAGCTTTTTCTTCCTCAGATACTAGGCAGTTTTTTTGATGAATAATAATAATAAAAAATATTGCTGCACAAGAAGCACCCTGAGATGAGGCTTAAAGACAAATTTCTTATCAGCCACTTAGGAGGTTTCCTATAATGGTCCTGAAATCTCCAACTGCAAGGCCAGATGAGTTTTTTTAAGCAGGCTGACGTCACACCGACAGAGCAAGTGCTGTGGTCTTCAGGCTTCCCTCAGAACCACCAAAGACAGCATAGATATAGCTGTATGTCTATAGACACAACCCTTTATGACTATTTGTTATAGGATACAGTGGACCAAATTCAGACCTGGTAGAAGGAAATGTGACTCTCCTGAAGATAATGGAGTTTCACCCCATTTTATTGTCCCTGAATATGATGAACCACAGTCCCAGCATACTAAATCTATAGGAATTTATTACTCCTTTTATAGGCTCTTTAAGATCTTCTATTTCATCTGAAGCTGGATATTTTTCTGGCTGTTTCATTTCTGTGTCTTTATCAGTGAGCTCTTAACACACTATTTAACATTTAATGTGATCTGATTCTCGGCTCAAGTATGCTTAAGTGAATGTATTTTCATTTTATGCCTGCTAATTTTGCCAGCAACAACAGTTAGCATTATCCTCATAACTCAGAGTCACTGACTTAGACAAGCAATTTCGCACGCTTTATACCATCCTGATGGGTCTCTAGGAACCCTCGTGACATCCTTCCTATTTCAGCAACAACTGCCTTTCTCATTTATTCAGGATCTTCAGACCAGGCTGTGTAGTGTAGTGTAGGGTAGAGACGACTTCACAGCTCCAAACCAGCTCTCACCTGCTTTGTCGCTCACGTGCGTGGTGGCTGGAGTGAGCCATTCTGGGCAACAGAAGAAATGGTGCTCAGATCTGTTAGATCTCCATATGTCCCCTCTCAAGACATTCCTCTGTTTCAGTGGCAAAGCTGGAGCATTTTTATAGCCCCTCAGGATGTCTGTTTAATTCAAGACGAAGCAAAGAGAAGGAGATTTTGCATTTTGAAAATGCCAGGGTAGAAAGAGTGATTTAAATTGAAGAATCCTATAATACTTCCAGCTGAATTAATAAAGCTCTACTGTATAGTAAAAGCAGATCTCAGTCAATGCATCAAGGACTGACAATCCCATTAGTGTAAAAACATGAGAAAAGGGGGAAAAAAACCCCCACTCAGTACTGATGGAAAAATCAAATTGACAGCCAGTGGAATTTTATGGTTCTGCATCATAACTTAAAAACACTTACTTATAAATATAGAACAACAGTCAAAATATGTGATGCTGGTTTTCTTTGAGAAAAAAGTTGCCTTTCTTTCTATACCATAAGTATTTTCCCAGTGTGATGTCTGAACCATGGATGTTTATTTCTCTATACGTAGCTCTAGTTAAGAAGGAAGAATACTTGCTTGGATCTTCGCAGCAGCAAGCTGGCTTATGGCTCTAAATAGGAAGTTTAAAATAAAAGATCTTTTTCAGCTGAAATCAACTGTCTCAGTCAGAACTTACTAACCTCCTAAATCAGACGTTGGGAGAAACATTGGAAGCCTTTTGGGACCATCTCACACACTCCTCTTTCCCCACTTCTCCTCTACCTGTTGTCTGCAAAGGGGATATGAAAGTGAAGAAAGCGACCCCGAAGTACCACATGGAAATACTGGTTACCAGGCATCACATTAAGACCCGCTATTTGGGTCTTCTTGGAAAAAGAAGATTTGAACCTAAATTATTTCCTGCATAAAATCCCACTGACTTCACAGGAATTATTTGAACTTGAGGGAACATTTAAATTTCATGATGATTCTGACACAGAGAAAGAAAATACTTCAGTGATATTGTTGGTCTCTGCTGAGAATTAATAGCCTTCTCTGACTTACATGAGGAAGTTTTAGGTAATTCAAGCAAGTGCAATATATCCAGAATGTTTCTTTTTTGATTTCAGAAACAGCTAATCAAAATTAAAATTGTATAATTTCACTGTGTGTGACTCATTCTTCACCTGCAGGGAGAAATGCTAAGATAATCAAAGCAAATCTTCATTGTGGAAATCCAACACTTCATTCTTTAAAGGTGAACTGATGTTTAATTTTTGACTTTCATTTTAATGTAATAATTGTGTTATCTTGAATACTGTGACTTGTACAAGGCATTTAGACAAAAACCTGGAACCTATTAAGAGCGTAGTTGAGGAAAGGTGGTACTTTGCTAACAAGCAGCATTTAAGATGCTTAAATTTTCCCTTCAACATGTTCCTTGTTGTGATGCAAGTAAATTGCAAAGATTATCATTCTGGGGGAAAAAAAACAGTTATCGAAAAGTCCCAGAGATCAGTCATCCTGAGAGCTGAACTTGTTGAGCAAGGAGTTGATTTGAACTGGTTGTTTCTTTTTGGTTTTGTTTTCAGAAATTGCAAATGGATGTAAACAAGCTGAATATCACATTGCTTCGGATATTTCGCCAAGGAGTGGCAGCAGCACTGGGACTGTTACCTCAGCAAGTTCATATCAACAGACTCATTGTAAGTACCAAAGGGATGTGTATAATAAAATGTACCTGGTTATATTGAATTCTCTTAAATTTATTTTTCTTTCACTATGGAAAAGTGCAATAAAATAGGACATAAAAATACTTTTTTCCAATATTTTTTAAACTGCACTACAGAAAAATAGAACTCTATTTCAAAATTATTTAAATTTTCTTTTGAAAGGCAACCATTCTCAATTACAGTCTAGAGAGAAATCTCTTTTGTGTCCTATTCATAAGCAGATCCCTTATCCCTTAGTTTTCATTCCAGTGCAGTTCTACATCACATTCATTAAGAGAAACTTATTCATGTATTGTTTCTCAAAGGTTGAATGTTGCTCAAAAAATACACGTGATTCTGCCTTTCAAAGGCATCTTCACAATTTATCCTCAGACTTTCCATTAGTAAATTAAATGTATTCTCACAGTATTAATATTCATGTTTTGCTACTCAGCTATAACAATTTATGCTCAGGAATTATCTTGCAGACTACGGTATCATATTTGCAAAAGATGAAGACAAATTTTCTCCTAGCAACAAAGACTTTTTAGAAACAATTGTCATTGTATGGCTTTCTGTGTATGGTTAAGAGCATTCATGCTTAACTGTCTTTTTATGACAATTTTGCCATGAAGCAAAAAAATCCAACATCATATGTGTATTGCCTGCATTCAATTCACATTGCAGGGGGAAGAAGAGCTATTTCATTTTATTCTACATGCAGGTTGAACATTAGAGAAGGAAAGTGACAGATTCAGCGTAAAAGTATTTCCTGCCTTGATAACTTGATAGGATTGTATACATCAAAAAGGATTATAAAACTCCTTCAAATAATGTCTCTGTGAGAAAGGATCGCACAAGAAGTACAGCAGAAAAGATCAATAGGAATGCTATGCAATGCTTTTTTAATTCACCAGCGATGTCACTCATTCATGACAAGTGATGCTATATCTCCTTTGTCCCCTGCATTAACCAGAATGAAAGGTTGAAAGACAATATTCAGAGAAAAGCACAATTCAGTGAGAAATGTTCCAGAATTTGGGATATGTATTTCAATGTACTAAGTCACTTAGTAGCTTTCTTACTATACTCTGTGGAAATTATATAAGTAAGCAGAAGAAAAATGCTGTTTATTTTTCTACTGATTCCATGGCTTTTAACTTTCTCCTCTCATTTGTGATCTAAGGGAAGAGGGAATGTCATTTTGCACCTGCATATAGCTCACAATACAGTGAGTACTATTAATTAGTCTTCTCAACATCTGTAAAAGTCTTCTATGAGTTAATCTTTTAATGATATAAGAAAGAACACAAAATTTTACCCTATTTCCTGTAAAAAAGAAAAAAATACATCTTAGGAGATGTTATTCCCACTTTGCATCCTTCTAACATGAGACAGTTCCTCTCATTCAGACTCCTACCAAGCAAGCAGGGCACATCAAAATTCATCTCACCTCACTTCAGCCTGGTCTAGGCCACTCTTCTTGGCTCTCTGTAAAAGCAGTATAGAGAAGGGTAACTGGAGAAGGAGAGGAATTGAGATCCTGATTATTTTAGGATGGATTAAGTAATTCTCTGGACATACCAGTCTCTCTCCACTGACTTTGGAGGTACTTTAGATAACTGAAGTGAGGTAAGCTGACTCCGTAGCAAGTGAGCAGCTCTCAGAAGTGATCAGGAGCCGAGCAGCCAGGATGTGGTTGGGCACAGGGAGAACAGAGGGCCTGCTGGCCTCTTACATATACCAACACAGTGTGCCAGGAAAAATTAACTGGGCAATTCCAATGTCTCCTTAACCTTTCCAGTAAGTCCTCCTCCCATAAAGCCCTTTAATGGGTAGAGGAACTCCTAAACAGAGGAGACACAAAACACTGGGAATGCCGTGTCCCCACGAAGCCTTGTCTTGCCTTGTGCCTGCCACCCAGAACCAACCACCTACCCATGTCAGAGACCAAGTAGGACCACAGCCTCAAATCAGCTTCCTCAGCTTGACAAAAGTTTCGGCCTTGAACTGACGCTCCAGACCTCAACGTCTGTTTTCACTCCATCTAATCCTGCCGATCTGAATAATTGTACCACTGAAAAATGCCCAATCACACCGTTAGCCAATGTCCTTACCAATCTTATCAAGAAAATGGACCAGCAGCACATGTGAGAGCACAGAGGGCAGATTTATGGTAAACACGTTTGAAAGCATCTCTTTCCGTGCAGCTCTACTGCTGAATGCAAAACTAGATAATTTAAGAATAGCAAAAGATGTCTCTTCTTCACTTCAGTAAAGATGATGATGCACATTCAAGGTGAGGGGAAGGAGGTGGGGGAAATCAAGATTGTCCTGGTTTGAACTGATCTGTCGTATCCCATAATGATGAAAAACAAATAATGAGACTAGTAAGGTTCTTGCCTGCACAGGCAGCAATGCAGGTTGTGGCTCCATCCTTACCTTGCGTATATGAAACTCGCAGGGCTGGACTCTACATCACAGCCTCAGCTAAGTTGGCCATAGCACTGGGGGACCTGGGTTCCTGCATCCTTTTTGGACATCAACACTGTCTGGAGCACTGGTCTCAGGTGCTGTTCTAGTCTGCCACAACCAGAGGAATCCTCCATCAGTCTCCTTGCAACACAGTAAGCGTCACTGATCTCTTTAATACAGCAGTCCTTGAGCTACCAGGACTGCATCCAAGACAGCAGGGCAGAGGCTGATAAAGGGGAGAGCAGGCATTTTCAGCTTACCTGTTAAACTATTCTGGTCTTTTCATTTTGTTCTGCCATTGTAAGGAGTTGCACTGCAGTCAACTAAAAGGATTTCGTATGTTGTTGTATGTGTCTGCAATGTGTTGACATGGGATTAGAAAGCAGTGCCAAAATATCACGGCATTATACTAAGTATTCCTGTTTAAGGACCTGCTTCTAAAACAGGGCTGTGTTTCAGCTCAGCTCAGATGAACTATCTGCTAAAATACCTGCTGGCATTTTTCCCTTGACACCATCTCATGGCTCCTCCCCTCACCATGTTACATTAGCTTGTCTTGTTTAACTGTACTAGAATTAGGGAGAGGGTATTTTGTCAACAGCGAACAAAATAAAGCACACACGTCCACATACAGTATTTGCATGTTCTTAGTCACTTGGGATTTAAGGAGTCCAGGCATAGGTATACTTCCTCACAGAGCATGTTGCAGCCTTTATATTCCATGCTTTTGGCTTTGGAATTATAGTTACAGCCTACAGACAGCAGAGATTATCTAATCTCAGATCCTTCCTATGATTCTGCATTTTTTTTATTTTCCTAGGAAAAGAAGAACTGTGTGGAACTGTTTGTGTCCCCACTGAACAGAAAGCCAGGAATTGCTGAGGCGCTCCCATCAGAAGAAGTGCTGCGTTCCCTTAATATCAACATTTTGCATCAGAGTTTATCCCAGTTTGGAATAACAGAGGTCTCCCCCGAGGTTGGTTATCAATTTTCTAACTTGTATTTTGTTACAGATTATGCAGTTATTACATCCCTGGTAGTTTTCAGGCTAAGGTTCTCAAGCATGAGGCAGAAAATGTACAAGCTAAGATGGCATTACTGCTGAAAGGCAATTATACAGTTAGCCCTGTTAAATTACTTTAACAGTGCCTCATTAGGCTACTTAAGCATTAATATCTAGGTCATCCTCCTCAGACAGCTAGGCTACTGTTGAAATCAGAGTTTAGAGCCTAAGCACGCATCAATTGCCTTAAAGGAAGTGGGCCCAAGGACTTTTGGTCTATTAATGCAGGTTGTCAGGTATAAAAAATTCAGTAGAGAGATAAATGAAATGTAGATGTCAGGTGTGAGCATTACTACCTGTGTAACTTGTGTCTGACATGATTTTGAAAAACTGAATTTGGATGTTGTACCCATCCTTTTTTTCTATTCTCAGAAGTGAGAGATTTTGTTTATCTGATCCAAAAGAAGGGCAAAAATAAAACTTGTAGCTATTATTTGTATGACTACAGCCATTTTCTGGGGAAAAAAAAAATCTATTTCAAAGCAGAGACTACACTGCTATCTCCACAGTGTCCCAGACATTACCAGTGAGATGGACATCTAATTCTGGGCTGATCACTTGAGCTACACACAGCAAATGAAAAAACGTTAAGGCCTTTAGGAAAGGAAATCACTGAGCTCATGGACATGGTCAAATCTCCTTGCATTTTATTTAGCATCTTAGAAGCTCTTAACTGCACATAAAGACCCTCAGAATTCAGTGTGAGGTGTGAGTAACTTCAAACAAGTTATCAAGAATCAGTGTTTTCCATAGCAGCTCCCATTTTGACAGAGGAGATGTCTATGTCCAAAGAAATGGAAGAAAAGTAGAGATTCTGATGAGGTGTGTTTCCTACTATGGGTAAAGAGCTTCTGTTTTTTTTACATCCAAACCTAAGTTTGAGCCTTTGCTGAGTTAGTGCTGGCTATGTTCACCTGGATTTCAACTGATTAGAAATGCTTTCACTCATTTTAAATATTCTAACTCTATTTAAGAATCGGGAAGATGTCTTTGGTACAAAAAAATGAAATATAAAACCAAAGTCAGTTCAGTGTAATTTTACATGCTCTACTACAGCAGCCACTGCGAAAACGAGCAGATTCTCAGGTTTCAGCTATTCTAATACAAAATAAAGCCACACAGTGCTGTCCAAACATAAAATCAGGTCTTTATATCACCCACCATTGACCTGGGCTAAGCTTCCTTTAGGTCAGAATTTCCTTTGTTACTGAAGCATATGAGCCTGATGGTTGTGATAGCTGCAATTACCTGCTCCAAGTACTTCAGTTACAAGTAACACTTCAGGTAGACATTGGACAAGAACATATATGAATAATAGATGGAGAAATGGCATCAAGCTATGAAGAGATGCTGGAAAAAAACAGTGCTGAACTCAAGACCTCATCTATGTTAGATGCATTTCAATAAACTGGAGTGCTCAGATATTTGAATTTTCTCTCTGGAAAAAAATCTAGACAACTGGACAGAATCTTTTAGAAAAAGTATTATTAGAATGAGAGTTGTGCAGAATTTAACTCCTTCTAATACTGTTGGAGAATCAAGAGGTTATTTTAATATTTCAGTTGCTAGCAGATTATACAGCTAAGGCTCTGATCCTGAACAAATTATGCAGCTTTAAACTAGTAAGTATTGTTTTTGCCTCTCAACTGTTGGTTGACAGTCGGCTTAACATGAGACAGCACTGTGCCCACGTGGCCAGAAAAGCCAATGGCATCTTGGCCTGTATTAAAAACAGTGTGACCAGCAGGTCCAGGGAGGTGATTATCCCCCTGTACTCGGCACTGGTGAGGCCGCACCTCGAGTACTGTGTTCAGTTCTGGGCCCCTCACTATAAGAAGGATGTTGAGATTCTGGAGCGTGTTCAGAGAAGAGCCACAAGGATGGTGAGGGGTCTGGAGAACAAGCTTTATGAGGAGCGGCTGAGGGAACTAGGGTTGTTTAGCCTGGAGAAGAGAAGGCTGAGGGGAGACCTCATCACCACCTACAACTACCTAAAGGGAAGTTGTAGAGATGTGGGTGCTGGTCTTTTCTCCCAGGTGATGGAGGATAGAACAAGGGGAAACGGCACCAAGCTGTGCCAAGGGAGGTTCAGGTTAGAGATACGGAGGAAGTTCTTTACTGAGAGGGTTGTCAGAGGCTGGAACAGGCTGCCCAGGGAGGTGGTGGAGTCACCATCCCTGGATGTATTTAAAGAGCAGGTAGACGAGGTACTTAGGGATATGGTTTAGGGGGTAGACAAGAGCGGGTGGACGTGATGATCTCGGAGGTCTTTTCCAACCGAGCAATTCTGTGTGTGTGTGTGTGTGTGTTCAATAAATTGTTTACATGTGTAAGACTTCACAGAAAACAGCAACTAAAAAACTAAAATCTTTACTAGCTCAACTACTAACCAGTTATTTCTTCTTCTCTAAAATTGCTCTAAGAACAAACCATGCTAAACAAAATAACAGCAAAGACAATCCAAACAGACAAAACTTTGAAGGAAGATATAGTTATATAAAGCTTTACATAGCTTTGACATTATTTTATCCATGTTGTGTGTTTATTCCTGAACCATAAATCCTAATTAATTGATGAGCTAATAAATTGTACACTCTTCCACCAAAAATTCTGAATGCTTCACAACCAGTATTGTATGCACACTCACAGTGTATCTGTGCAGAAAGCAAGCAAGCATTACCCTCATATCTCCAGATGGGTGGGTTGCATAGAGGTGTTAGGGCTGGAATTCATCTCCTTTTATAACTGCCTATTGCAGTATTAGCTGCCTGAGGCTTGAAATTCTGCTGGTTCTCTCTACAGTCAACAGAAAGACAGAATTCCCTCCAGCGTGCAGTTCATCCCAGCCGTGAAATACCTCTCCCAAGATTGCTTGGTTGACTCTTTCTAACAGGCTTAGCTTAAACTAGACTCTCTGCTGTAGAGGATTGATAGTGGGGGAATTTACCTTGTCCTAAGAAACTTTACCAATATTATGTGGGAGAATCCATGTGGGAAGCTAAAGCTCTCTGCTTAAGGTCCTAGACCACGCAATACCATAAACAGCAAAAGTCACAGTGGATGTAGGTGACTGGAAGTACATTTCCATTCATTTCAGTAATAATTTGCCAGTTCACATCTGCTAATGCATTAATCACTGATTGTTCTAGTTCCAATTAAATTGCCTGTCTCAATATTATCTTATCCTGCAGTAGCTGAAAGAGCAGATTTCCTATTTGCCTTTGCTGTCAGAATCACTCGAGTCCTTTGCTGCCTGCTGCAGAATGGATTGTGTATCTGTGAGAATGTGAAAATTTAATTTGCTGGAGTTGTCGCCCTTTTAGTGTTCCAAGGCAATGGCAACACCTTCCATATGTCCTTTTTCTTTCAATGGCCTATTGTAGTTGTAGCATTTGCTCTTTTATTGTGGTCTAAATTTTGTGTCTGAAGTGGGATTTAGGATTGTGCTCTGCCTCATGGTGTGTAGTAGGGCCAGGAGCAGACTTCAGCAGAGCAAACTACTGAATTGGTGCTTGTTAGTGGGACTAAATTCAATGACTTAGGCAGTCGATGTTATTATGATGAGGGAATCCTGACTTCTTACTGTCTTTAAATTTTGCTTAGAGAAAAAAAAAACTATAGGATTTCAGAGCTTAGTGGAGTAGAAGAGAACTTAAAGTGGTTTTGAATGACAAAAAAACTAAAGTTACAGTAAGTAAAATAAGAGTTACTGTCTTTTGAGCGATAAGCTAACTGCCAGCAGGGAGATGTGACTCTAAAGAGAATTTTCCAAAATTCATGTCAAAATTGCAATCCCAAAATGAACCATTACAGCCTCTTTGCACAAGGCTTCTGTTGGTTGTCTTTGAAGCATGCAATATTAACTTCTTAGAGAAGAAATCAAAGGAACCAATCATGCACTTAAAGCATACAGAAACCATTAGTCATTGTAAGGATAAATGATCAAAACAAATAGCTTAGAAATCACAACAGAGACAGACAGACCAACAGAGGTGCCCAGGAACAAAGCAGAGCACGAGGATATGCTCCTGTGATCAGGCAGATGCAATGTTACACCTGCATGGGTGCACCCAGAGTAGAGCAACATGAAATTGCAGCATGAAATCACAACACACATGTAAGGTAGAGCCTATGGGGAGGTTTTGTCATAGGAGATGTTAAGTGGTTATTACCCAGTGTCCCAGGAGGTCACCCATGTTCCTGCAAGTTTTCACTGAGGTTGGAAATTATTTCTTGGCAGACTTTTCCTAACCCACCTTAGCTAACATTGTTAAAATAGCAGAAAAAGCAAAGGAACTCAGTGGGAACTTTGTTAAACCTTTTTTGATCTTAAGTTTGATGCACAGCTCCCTGTAAGGTTTCCTTTGAGCTCAGAACTACAGCTTGCTGTGCTTTCATTAGTGTTTCAGCCCAGGGAACTAATTGGGGTTAACTGACCCAATCTGCAAATTCACGTATTTTCCAGTGAAGACTTACTTTTCTTGGCAGCTCCTGATACCTTGGCAGGATCTTTCAGTCTCAGATTTTACAGTCACTACTTCAGGTCAATGTCACTCTTGTTATCAAAAGCTGGCTGCTCATTTTACTTGTTTGTAGAAATAATCCATTAGTTTTCCATAATAAGACCAGAAAGGCCAGAGTGGATTTTTAAGGTCTTTTTTAATAAAAAAGGTTTCCAAAAGTTCGTTTTTCTAAACACATGTTCCAGTTCAGAGCAAAGCAGATACTTGTGCAAGCACTTTTCAGTAAGGTTAGCAACAGCATGGGATTGTTTAGAATACATTGATTCTTCCCTGCCTTCAATTATGTTGAATTTAAGCTGTTTAAATTAACCTGGCTAATTCTGCTGAATGACTCACCTGATTGCACTCCTCAGGGAATGGAGTCAAATACGGGGGGATGATGCTTTTGATGTTGTACATGATGATGAGCTTTCCTTCCTGTAGCCAGGTTTGCTCTGGGACCTGATGGTGCCTGAGCTACTGGAACTCCCCTGCCAACCGCCCTGCATCAGCTGTGGCTTTTTGCATCTTAGTTTGACTTTATCTTCCTGCCCTCTGATGGCAGTGGTACATTCCCACTCCTCAAACAAAAACTGTGCAAAAATCCTTAGTGGATCCTCAGGCAGGAAAAGACTCTCCGGTGAGTGAGAGAAATGTGGAGTAATATCAGACAATTGAGACACAGCACATCTCCATGTGGGAGGCTCATTGCCTGTGCTTACAGACAGAATTCCTCTCTTTTTTGCTTTTCTCCTAGCATTTGGTCATCTTGCAAGCTTGTTTCTGGGTGTCAGCAATTTGTAGTGAGCATGGTAGTTGCCGTCCCTCTTATCAGTTCTCCCAGGCTGAGGAACAAAGTTCTGAATGAGCAGCACTGACATTTCAGATAGCAATTCCTTATCGTGGGTGTAAGATGACTCAGTTACTGCAGGTCACAGCCTCTTCTGTCATTAGGGAGCAGCTTAAGTAATGATTCTGCTGTCCTGTGTACTGCTCAGTTAGATGCAGGAAAGAGATTTCCTCAGTTAGGTGAATGCACTACCTCACTATTTCAAAATAATTTGTCAGATATATTGAAGCTGTGGCACAATTACTTTTTTTACCCTTTTTACAGCATTCATATTCTTTGAACTTTATTTTTATAAAAACAAATCAGAGAAAGATGTATCCTGAACACATGTACCATCAGACAGACATCATAGAGATTAATTCTCCTAGCCTCAGTTATGTATACAAAGTCTATTATAAAATATTTGAAAAGTTTTGTGACACTAATGAATTACAGTTAATTAAAAATCTCTTAGTCATTGAGTCAAAAAGTCCTCTTAGTTCTTCATTTACTTTTTAGTGCATTTGTCCTTTCAGTGAAGAGGTACAAACACCCCCATTTACTCACTTACAAAAGGTCAGCATGGCCAATTCTCCTTCAACTCTTGCATTTTATCTAGATTTCCTCCTGAGAGATCTGAAACACCAGAAAGCCATCAGGTAATATACCCAGGGTCAGACACTTAGTTTATAGTTTATAGATGCTGCTTTCACTGTGGAATTCCCATGGAGCTCAACAGAAGCAGTCCTGAGTGCAGAGCAGCTGCAGTGTCGGGCTCTGAGCCAGTACTAGGATCCGAGTCCTGCGCTGTGAGCACAGCAGAATAACCTTGCTGTGCTGAGGTAGCAGATTGCATGGAGAGCTGCACCCCGTTAGAGTGGGAACACTCTTTGAATATGTCTAGGAACAATTTTTGCAGAAATACTTGGCAAGATTTCTAGCTTATCTTTGAAAGCCCTGGTTTTTGCAGTTGCTCGCTAAACACAAGACTGAAACTTATAAACCTTGTTAAACTGTCAATACCTACAATACTTTTAAGCCCAGACCATCAAACACAGTGGGATTACACACACACATGTACTAGTTTTGCAAAGTCTGTTTCTGTAGTTTAGCAGAAGGAGGTAAAGGCTTTCCATTCTGGTCCCTAGGGCTATGACTTCCAAAGCAATCTTGATAATGCTTTCAGTTCTAAAGCTGTCAAGTCCTGGTTATACCCATGCATTTTTTTTTAGTAAGCAAATCTCTGTAAATTAGCCATTTTACAATACTGCTCTGACTGTTTGTATTTTCTGTCAGCATGATCTATGAATTGTCTTGCATCTGCATTGACTTTAATCTGCATTGTCCTGGACCTTTTTAAAACAAGCAGGGCACAAACCTGTGCTGAAAGGAGGACCATCAAAACTGTATTGGGATCCAGCATGCAGCAGGTTTCTGTCAGCTTGTCCTCTTCCCCAGGCCATGATCTCCTCCTCAGCAAGCCTTTCCACATGAATTCAACTTCGTCAGGACTTTTTGTGTCTGGGAGGATGATGGACACAAGGAGTTTCCTTGATATATGAACTGTTCAAAAGAGCAGAGTAATGAGAGTCTAAGCAGACTTTGGAGCATGAAGTGTACCATGTAACACAGGTCCAGCGGGCAGCCACTCATCTTTAAACAGAGAAACTCTTTCCTCTGTGGAAAGCTCCCAGTCCTCTTACACGGTGTTCCCAGAAAGGAAAAAAGGCCACTGTGAAATGGGAAGACAACTCAGTAGTTAAAGGAGAAGTTTAATTAAAGCCATTAGGGAATTTCAGCGAAGGTGAAATACTGAGACCTCGAATATTTACAGTGGAAGCAGAAATTGATGGTGTTTTTACTCAGCCTGAGAACTGTACTGAAAATAAACCATTAAGATAAGACAAGCAAATAGACTGACATTGGGAGAGGAATATCTACTGAACTGCTGTTGCAGAAACACAAGATGACATACTTTATTCTAAATAACATGTTGCAATTAGACTGAAGGTACATGTACCTTGTTTCTACTACCAAATCTCTATTTGGAAACCTAGTGAAATTCTGGTAATTTAATATCCCAACCAAGTCCCCACACTGCAATAAAGCAAAAAATAAATGCTTTTGCAATTATTATTATTTCATAATCCCCAGGAGTTCCCCGGGAGTTCTGGAAATTTTAGCATGCACAGCTGTTTTAGAAACGTACTATCAGAAAACAGCAGGAACCCAAAGATAATGAGATTACTTTAAGCATAACCAGAATGATAGATAGACAGATAATAAGATTACTTTCAGCATAATCTGAATTTTTTACATATGCACATGGATGTGTGTACTCTAAAGTTGCCAGTGTCAAGGCTTCCTGGCTCAGGAAGTCAAACTGGGCAAGTCACCTGCTCTTCGCTCCTGTGTCGAGTGTAAACAGTCCTGAGGCCAGCGCATGGGTGCTGGGGCTGGAGATAAGTGGTGGATAAAAAAAGGCAGAGCACTGCCCTTTTCTACCTGGCGAGCCAGGTAATTTCCAAGAAAGACTGCAAGTCTTGTTTGCTTGCCTTCAAGCACCCCGTGACTCGTGGTGGAGGACTATCTCAGCAGCCACCAAGAAGGTCTTAGATCACCTCGCGTAGCATTAGGATCCCTGGGTTGCATACACAGGCACAGGTGGGGTGCATAGCCAAGGTGAGTACACAAATAGCAGCGTAGTTCAACGTGAGTGCCATATACCGTGGAATGTGAACTATATCAAAGCCGAGGAGGGTGATTAATGCCTGACGAGAGCTATTTAATCTGCGCACGCTACTGTGTAACTTTTTTTCTCTTCCTCTTTCTGTCTTACTGTTTAAAAAAGAAAAATGTTTTGCAAGGCCAGCATGAAGCAGACAAAATCTGGAGCAAAGAAGGATTTTATGCGGTTGTTATATTCCTCAGCATCTTTGTCATTCTAGTAACTTGTTTAATGGTAAGTTTCGTTTTTACCTTTTTATGCTGTTCTTTACTTCATGCTTTTCTCAGTCCGAAGGATAGAGTCACACATTCTTTACATGAGAGATGTTTACTCAAAGCTGTTAAAACCTCAGCTACAAAGTAAGAGTTGGTCTTTTGATAATGCTGTGAAGCCAAAGTTTGGAAAACTGCATTTCTTGATATATTTTGAGTCCAATTGAAGAATGTAACTAGAAGTAAGTTGAAGAAATAAATAATGGGCTCTTAAATCTGCAAACTAACTGTGTAGTGACGTGAGCAATGACTTTTCAACCTTCTCACTAAGGTCCCAAGATCCCTGAAGTCGCATTAGCTGCCTGTAGTTCAGTTTTATTGGATAGTAAAAACAACATCACATTGACACAATATTGCCAATGCACAGTTGTTAGTGTGTGTCAGTATTCATGTACTAAATATACAAATTTTAAACTGAAATTACTAATAAGTACATGAAGGAGTGATCATATTTTTGAACAGCTTTGCCATTCACATTGTGTGAGTTCAGTGGCCAGTGAGTTTCTGGGCATTAGACATTCTTATAGACTCACTGAATGTGAGATGTGCAAGGATCACACAAAAGGTGAACAGAACTACACCACCGCTGACTTTCATAGGGTAATTTTTGGGTTTTTTTCCAATGTTGTATCTCACATGTTTTCCTTACTCTGACTTACGTATTTCTTCTGTGGCACATAAATATAAGAGTTTACTGAATTCAGTGACAATTCTCTGCAGTTATGAACACATAGTATTTTAGAGTCTTTTAAGATATTTTGCTTTTAAACACATTCAATTTTCTTTAACCTAGATGGATTGCTATCCTGGGTTTGCATGGATAGTATCATAGAATTAGCTGTGGGTGAGTTGTTCTGGGATGCATAAAAGAGGACATGATCTCTAAGATCTGCATTTGTTTTAGTTCTGTTAATAATTTGGTTATAGTATTGCATCTTACTCATGTCACATTGTCTCTTGCTGGTACCACACTTGTGAAAAATGTGAGCAAGTTACAGTAGGATGGAGATAAAAGAGAAATCAGAGATACATAAGACATAAAATAATTTCATTTATTTATTACAAGGAAAATGAGAGCAAGGGGAAACATCATAGTTCTCAAACATGGAAAGATTTCAAAGGCTGTGTTAAGCTAGAAGATAAAATTTTGTCCACTACAGATAAGAAAATAAGCAAATTTTTTGAAAGTGTGATTTGGCTGACTCATTAGAAAGAATTTTATCACATGGGTCACTAGACCCTGGTGTGCATTGCTTGGAGAAGCTCAGGAATTTTCACCCATTAAGATTTTAGGCTAGCACCTATCAGGAATTGTTTGTGTATGGCTGATGTGGAGTTTGGGCTAGTAGACTCCTTGAAATCCCTTCCAGAAGGACTTAGTATGATGCTGTGGTCTTTTCAGCAGGCATTTCCCTGTCTGTCCCCTCCCAGGTCCAACCTGCATCTCTATATGTGCTGCTTTTTAGACCACAAAAAATGGCACTGTCTCAAATTGTGCCTGGACCTGCTGATACATGGAGTATGTGCAATTTATAAGACTAACAACAAGCGTACATTGTTTTTCAACCCACTTTATGTGTGTCAGAGTGGCAGATTTATGAAAAGTAGGAATTCAGTATTTCAAATCCAGCCATTTCAGTCTGTCAGACCATTCAGCTTTAGTGTAAGACCTCAGGGCTTATCCTAAGTGGCTTTGGCTGTAGCCACCATATGAGACCACCAAAATGAGGCCTGTTTTTTGAAATTACAAGGTAAGCACCAGTTTGTCCTTAAGTAGTTATTTATAGTTTAGAATGTCCAAAACCAGAAAGCTTCCAAGCATCTTTAGATGACTTGGAATTGTCCTTTTAAAGCATTGAGTAGGAAGTCTTGTAAGTGATGATGACGATAATCAACAGCGTTCAGTGTAAGGCAGCCGAATTGTCAGAGTTGGTGCTTTGTCCTCTGTAATGTCTACAGACATTGTGAAATGTGCAGCCTTGGCTTTTAACTGGATTTTACAAATCATGATGCTTTCCTGCTCTGAGAGCGCACTGTGTATTAACAGGTTTTAGGCTTCTTAATGCTTGGCTGAAATTTAACAAATATCTGGCCTTTATACATAAAAATCTACAGTGCAGAGTATTGCTAAACGATGAGATACAGCAGCATATGACCTATATTCGGATTTCTCAATTGTACCTCTGAGGTCTTTTTATGCATTTACTCAGCCAGTCCTTGTTGTTGCGATATGAGAAACGCTTGCATCCCAAGAAGGATCCATCATATTTAGAAGCCAGCACACAGCTCATTGCTATCCTCATCAGTGGGTCTGGCCATGAGCTCACATCCACAGGGAACATTGGACATCATTTATAATGTATGCCAAGCAAAGTGCTAAGTAAGAATAAATATTTTTACTGCTCCTATATGTAAAACAGGTCTCTGTATTTTTTATTTTACACAGAGAAATAATTGAGCCATCACCAAATTTAATAATTAACACAATATTTGACAGTTGGTTAAATTATTTGCTATTACATCTTTAGTAATTTTGCCTGTTTAAATAAACCAGTATATTTGCATATTCTTTTTTTTAAATAAAATGCATGTGCATCTGTTGAGTAGTCTGGAAGAATCACTTGCAGATTATGAAATATTTGTAGCTAGATGTGATAGGAGTGTTTTCTAAATGTTTTTGTTTTCCCCACTAAAAAAATTTAGAAGTAGAAATTTTTTTATTTACAGTAATGAAAGACATCCTGGCCTATAAAAGATGTCCCTGCCCATGGCAAGGGGGTTGGATTAGGTAATCTTTAATGGTCCCTTCTGACCCAAATCATTCTATGAACATTACTTTGTCAACAAATTGTGAGGAACTATATTTTGACTACTGTCTCTGGTGTTTTATGAATTATTAACAGTTATTTGATCTTGTGAGGACATGGTTACTTAAATGATAAAATATTCTTTTCAGCTTCATGATGTATTTTGGAATTTCTTTAACAAGAAGAATATTGAATAACAAAAAAATGCATTTCAGCATCCAATCTTCACATGATCTGTCGCTTGTTCTTAAAAGTTTTGTGATTCATAAAACGATGCAGGACTCATGAAAACACTTTGATCATAGAATATATAAAACTACTATCAGCCCACCAACTTCATCTTTTGCTAGTTTAAAACTTTAAAGCAAAATTAACAGTACATATTTTTCTCATACTGGAAGAGTATTTAAGCTGACTTGAAATTAGGGGTTTGTGTATATAATAGTCCTAGATTGTTTGAATTCTTTTATCTCGCTTCTGTAGAAATTTTTATAGTGCATTCAAATCATGGTATCCAAATGCCTCCGAGTAATGCATCAAACAACATGACTAACATCTGTCACATTTTTGTTCTTTCATCACTTCCCTGGGGTTTGAGGGGACTTTTTTCTCTGATTTTCTTCTCTTTTATACACATGTATAATAGCTCTGCACACAGCCTCACACACATGTTGATAAGTATTTGTTAGAGCGAACACTTTAATTAGAGTGAGCTGTCTTAATTTCCATGCTTTCTGTGAGATTTAACTATACATTCTGGGTTACACCACAACAGTCCTCTAAATATCTTCAGGCAGATGAGTTCTTATATTACGGCTCCACATAACCATTACCAAGATCTTTGTTCTGGAGACATAGATGCCTCTTTGGGATTTCCTGTCAATCTCTGAAGATGAACAAAAGCAGTTTTCACTGGTATTTTGAATGGGTAGGTAGGAGGTACTGGCGAAGCTAGCACATAACGTGTCAGCTTTCCTTTGCAGAAATCTGAGCAGAGATGTAAGGAGTGAATGTCATGCTGTCAGCACCCTGTCATTCTTCCATATAGGCTAAGTCAAAGAAGAGGCAGAAAGAAGAGTTATTTTCCTTTTTGGTCTGTGGCTTTGAACCCTAGGTGTAATATATTAAAAAAATATTTCAGATGTCACCCCTTGTGAGTCCTGGAAAGTAGTACTTTGTGGTGTTCTGTTGTTCCATGCCTCTTGATTATCCTCACAATGAATCTTCTGAGGTATCAGTAAAATGATAGTTTTCCTAATTTAGGGGCTTCATATTTACTTCCATCCATGATGTCTTTACACTGATTTGAAATATGAGTACAACTAAGTGTTCCCTTTGCATAGTTTGGTGATTGGGTTGACTGCTATCTTTTGGGCCATTTCTGTTTTTTTGACTTTCACCTGGAATTTGTTAAAAAAAATGATGGCCCTGACCACACTTTCTGATGAAAGTGCATTAGCTCTTAGATCATATGTGGTTCTTTAGCTTTTATTTCACAGTCTGCTGATGGCAGGTTATCTTTTTTCCTAGGGTCTAATAAAAGAGTAATAAAAAGGATATTAAATAATACTCAGCCATATTTTTGGAAGTCAAAAACATAATTCCCTGGGTCTCCAAGGGACAAAACTTGTCAAAATATATCAGAACAAGAAGGTATGGTTAACATTCTGATGATGGTGAATGTCTGAGCTGTATATCTGTGGGTTACCAGAAACAAATGAGACCAAAGCAAACAATGGAGGAAAAGAGGGTTAAAGTATTTCAAGCCCCTATTTTCTTTACTGATACCTTAGTCCTTGCTTTGCAGTAGAACTGGCTTTTCCTGCAAAATAACAGCAAAGAGCAGCTTATCTTATCCATGCAATCTAATTCTAAACTCTTCTGAATGAACAGATGGTTTACGTAGCTAAGTCTTGTTTAATGGGTGTATTGCTAATGACATTAGGTCAGTTCCCAGATAAATCTCTAATGCTAATCCTTAAAAAAACAAATCCATCAGATATATCCAGTCTTCACTGGAAAGCTATGGAGTGATAGAAATTTATATGGTTCTAGCAGGGCAAAAGCTGTCAAAGAGCCTCTGACTTGCAGCGGGAAAATGCTTTGTTCTAGGCTTTGTCTTTATGGCTTTGCAAACCAAGATTCATTTCAAAAGCTTGCAATAGTAGATCTCATAAATTTCATAGGTTGTAAGGCACATTTTGGAGATGACACAACTACAGCTCAGAAATTGTTTTTTGCGTTCCCCTCAAGAGAGAGAAGATGCATTAAATAGGCGTAACATGGGTTCCTCTGGATGACATTACTTACGCTACCCATCACCCCTTACCAAGCCAGTGTACAGCATCATCAGCGAGAAGTTTAGTGGAAGACGATCAGTACAACTTCCCAGAAAGCTTTTGCTGCAGTATCTGATATCCAAGTTCATAAGCAATAGGTGGACAGAGAATCCTGGTATTACAGTATGTTCAGATGTTAATGTCTTGGTAATGGTAAAACACACTTTTCTGAACAGGTGCTTATATAGCTTTATAAGCCACATGCTGCTTCAGCTTTATTACATAATAGGTTATGTTTCTCTGAGGATATTGAGGGATATCCTTATTGTGAGGAGTATTTCAAAGTAGTAGAAGCCTACCATTACAAAAGTGCCACTGTTCAGTCATCAGCTTCATGCAAAATGAGTAAGAACTTTTAAGGACATCTGCTTTAAAACAAATTGAGGCTGCTAGAGTTAGACACATGTATCTGGATATATCATGAGCATATATTTTATTTTGTTTGATTGCCTCTCTTGCATTAAAATTATTACAAATATTTCTATTATTACTCCATTTATCAGTATTTCCTTCTTCACAGTGTCTTTTGTGACTATTTTCCATTCTATGTTATTTGCCCTTTTAATGATACAACTGCTGGTATTACGATAGTTACTGACTCACAATAAGAACTCTTAAAATCTCTACTGCCCACGTGTATACACTGTGGTTTATGTAATGGGAGTATTGATCCTGTTGTGGGAAACGCCATGTAATGCAGCTTGTGGCTTACCTTCTAGGAATTAAAGCCACATATAGCAATCTTATCCAGCATTTGTGATACCTTCCTTGGCTTGTTTACCATGGAATTAAGACTGGGCTTTCCTTTTTATTTCTGTAGGTTCTATACAGATTAAAAGAGAAGATCCAGTTGTCACTGAGACAAGAGAAGGAAAAGAAGCAGGAGATTCACCTCTCACCCCTTCCCCTCCAGACATCTCAGTCTAAGACCACGAACAGCATGGTCCAGCCCGAACAGGCTCCAAAGGTTGTCAATGTTGTAGTGGACCCTCAAGGCCAATGTGTTCCTGAGCTAAAACCTCCTCTGTGTGCCAGTCCGTCTCCTTTCAGAATGAAACCTGTGGGGCTTCAGGAAAGGTAGGCTGCTGCCAGGCACATTCAAGGTTTATTCTGCTTTGTTATACTCATGCTGCATGATTTCATCTGTGCCTTTTCTGTCGATGAATGGGAGATGTCACCATACAGACATCTGAGAAGTGGGATTTTGGTGTGTTAATGTCTTTCTCATGGGTATTCCCTCCTTTCCTTTTCATATGAGTAAAGGTCCAGAACTTTGGGCTGAGATTAACTGTAGTACTGCAATTCTTTTTGCTAATTTATTTCTTTGCATTTCCAGCAATTACTCCAAAGAAATAATTTTACATTTTTCACTGATTTTTGCCTGTTTTGATCCTGGACATCCTGGCAGAGGGCACAAGGGCTGGTTATGTTTTGTCAGCAAAGGATGTTCACATTGTCAGGGAGTCTCTAGCACATGGGAAACTTAGGAAGAATAAATACTTACACCAACAAAGCACATTCACCTACCTCATATAGTGTTTCCATTATCACCTTTAGATAATTTTTATTCTTAAATTGAGTTTTCCATGATGGTTGGGATACAGTCCGAGTTCTACAGGCTTTACAAAAAATAGAAAGAAGTGGTTAGTAATGAAACTGACCCTTGTCTGCAGCTCCTCAGAAATACTTGAGCACAAAACCTTACCACTCATTCTACTTTTCAAAAACAGGACCATTATGCTTGTTATAGAAATAGTTATTCTTCCCACAGGAGAATGCACACTGACATCTGCCTCTCCTCTGTTAGAAACCTATATAATTTCTTGCCTGATGGCTGCAGGCCGCTTTCATAAAGCATCAGTGCTTTGAATAACTAACGTGGCGTGCAGCCGTGCAACTGAACTCTTCTACCCCTGCACAGATGATAAATGAAAGAACAGACACCATGGAGATATGACAGGGAAATCAGAATGAAAAGAAGACTGAGTGGAGCCAAGTGGAGGACTCTCAGAGTTGAGCAGTAACCTTGATTCATCTTGAACCGTGGGATTTCAATGACAAGAGATTTTATCAATGGCTTTATGAGCCATAGACAGAGCTAAGGGAGGGGGATTAATTCTTCCATGAGTAAAAGATGCTGAAAGGCAGAGCTGTCATAAAATACATAGTGGTATCACTGCAGCTAAAAAAATAAGGAATGCAGAAAGCAAGTAAAAACATTTGGATAGTTGCTCTCATTCCACAATGAAAAATAAAGCACACAAGCATAGGGATCACATAGCTAGTTTATAATACCTAGTACGTAACATAGCATATGTAATAGTTGAGAAAGATTGGGGTGAAGGAATTTGTAGAGGGAGTTTGTACTTAACGACCAGAGAAGAAATTTTTCCATTTCTTAAACAAACAAGCAAAAAAAAATATCCACCACCACATATAGAAACTCAGTATTTAATACTCCTGAACCAAATTTCATCCTTTGGAAGGACAAAGTTCTGAGTCAGACGTGTCAAAATGGAGAGCTGAGATACAAAGAGGAATCTAAACCTGATGTTTGATCAAATAAACCAAGCATTTCAGCTTATTACTAAGGAAAAAGAAATTAAAGGAACTGAGCACCTCAGTGTCTACTGTAAAAGAATACTAATAGGCCATTGTGAAAAAGTTAAAGCAATTGTGGTAACATCCCATTGTACAGTTCTTTTTGTCATGTTTAACACGATTATACTTTATCACCCCAAGTCCACTTCTAAGAGACAGTGACTTAAGTTTATTTCAAGCTCAGTGACACGAAGGCCTGGAGGTGTGAGGAAGAGAACTTTAGGGAATATGTTGTCTTTTCTTCCTCTGAAACAAACAGCTATTATTAGATATATTTCTTATTTATTTACTATGTCCTGTACTATGAACAAATTTGCACATATTTTGACACACAGAAGCACTGGAGGCAAAAAGTAATAATGCAGCATCACATTTTGCCTCAGACTTTATCTAGTGACCAGGTATGCAAACAGTTTAAAACCCCTCTCCACCTTTTGCCCCACAACAACCTTGCCTTAGCAGTGGACCTTACAGCATGGATCTGCACACTGCAAGCAGCACACTGTGCACAAAACTGCTTGCAGCCCTTTTGCTGTCAGTATGGCATAGGATCAAACCTGGAGGTCCTCTCCTGCTCATAGCCACAGTCTGGGGGCACATATTCAATAATGTTTGCTACCCTGATTTTGGTTTCTGCCAGGAGAAGCAGCTCATGGCAGGCTAGTGTCAGTATGGGGGCTTCTTGACAAACAGCACTGAGATTCCTTTGGCCAGGTGGCTTGACAGTGGTTCCTGAGCAGTATTTTCTACCTGTCCACACTCCCTGATTTAGTTCCTTAAGTGTGATCCATAGTCATGAAATGCCTAGTGTGATCCAGACCAAACTGTATCTCTTAAAAGAGAAATCAGTGGACCATGGGCCAAACCAGGGAGGGAGCCAGCCACTGTGCCTAGCCATCTTGATGGGAAGTTTGTGACAGTATCTCTGAAGGATGAGGCGAAAAAGCTGGATGATGCTTGCATCTCAAGCTCTCCCTGCTCTGCACACCAGGTGCTGCTTTGAGGAACATATCTAAATGCAAAAATATGGTGGAATTGAGTTTTCACAAAGCACCATGTCAGCATCTGACCTTCTGAACCTTTCCATTTTTAATAGGAATAGAATTGGCTGGTACAGGGGCAGACAAATTGTTAATGGACAGCTGTCCACAGATCAAAACGTTTCTGGGAGTTTGTCCAGCTTCTTCAAATGGATTGTGCTTCTCCGTGCCAGAGCCAAGTCCATGTACATTCTTTTCTGCATATCTGGAAAGGCTCTTACTCAGCTGTTTCTGTAAGACACAGCTTCGCGGGCAGATTATGCAATGTTTGCACTATCATATGTGTAGAATGCCGCAGACGATCTTCATGTGACACGCATATACCCTGGGGCTTGGTGCCTTGCTGAATGCAGCTGTGAGGGAGCGGGGTGTGGGGCGAGTGACACCTAGAGCCGGTGGCCAGCACTGCCACCTCCCCCTGCGCACGCCGCCACCCCAAGCCTGGTGTCGAGGTGTCCTGCATCTTCTTCTCTTTGGCTGTCGCTCTTGGAGAAGGGAAGGTGGTCACACAGTCAGGAAGGGAGGTGGCCAGTGCCCTCAGGAGGCAAGTGATTTCCCTGGAGGCTGATATGTGTGCCCATATGGAGCCTGCCCTTGGGGAGGGGATGGAGCTGTGGTGGCCAGGAGTGGAGGTTGGACCCAAGAGGTGTGCTGATGAGTGGGCTGTAAGAACAATGAGGCCCTGACCACTTTATATTACAATTAATGGTAGCTGCTGGGGCAGACAAGTAAAGGGCTGCTTTCAAAGCCTCCTGGCATCCTCTGGATCATTCAGTGCAGAACACTGGTGTTTTCACAAGTGCTGCTCCTTTGCAGCAAAGACTTCCATCACACACAGTGCTGTTACTGACCGAAGGAGTGGGAGAGCTAATGTTGTTCTCCTAGGTGTCTTTAGTGATGAATTGTCTCAATATCATAGCACCAACACCTGAATTTAGGATGTAAATTATTCTTTTCTCTTTCATAAGCATATCCATGAATGTTGCATCAGCATTTATTTTCCTAGTTGGGTTTTTATAGGTTTATATGACTGAAATATACTTCTTCCTTCAGCAGAGTAAGGCTTCATTTTATTCTACTGGTTAGCCCAAAATTCATCTCGATATGAACAGTCTTAGCCAAAATCAGATCTGGTGAAGTGGGATGTAATATGTTAAATTTCATTCTGACATGTCAAGCACTGAAAATTCTTAGAACAAGCAGTGAGTTGTTAAAATACAGGCATAGTGGAGATATAAATATTAATAAGTTACCACACCAACACAGTATTCACTTGTTTTACTACTGGATTAACTTTTTTCCCAGCCACTGCTGCTGTGAGTCAGTTCTGGTATTACTTGTGACTAGGACAGCTGTATTTCAAGTAACTAGTGCACCATATACTCTTTTGTTCAAATTAATTACTATCTAGCATGAAAAAGTACATGGAAGACAAGAAAATGTGGAAAATAGCCATGTGTGTTAAAAAACACAAACAGTGGTTTTGGAAAGTCTTCTTAAGCATTTGTATTCAATCCCAGCCAAAGAGGCCTAAAACTGTGGCTATTACATCTAAATGATCACTGGGAAAAATCACAGCACTGTTTTCTCAGTGTGTTACATATTCATTGGAAAATTTTTCTGTCTAAAAGGGAGATGCTAGGGGCATGCAGGACTCTCATTGAGACCAAGTAACATTTTACATGTGCTTGGTGCTGATTTTTTTTTCTCTGCAAATAAATACAAAAGAGTGAATAATATAACAGAAAAAAAAAGTTTGGCAAATAGAGAAAAAAACTGGCAGATAAGTGATTTTTTTTTAAATAATATATGTGAAATAAAATAATTCTGCAACGATATGGAAGCACTGCTGGGACACAGGAAAACTGAAGATACTCTATGGAAGGGAAGGAAATGCCAGCATGAGCAAAACTGGAGGGCAGAGGGCTGCTCACAGACATCATTCAGCCATACATTGTGCAGATTACTCTGATAAGTGTGCAACCAAGTTTGCAACCTCTAGAGAAAATCAGTTGGTATCCAAATAGAGAATAGTAGGCGAAAAATCAGTTAAATCAATGTCAAGTGTAACTCCCTACAAACATAACAGATAGCACTGAATCTTGGCTTGAACTCTGATTGCGAGAACCGAGTGCGGTGTTACTTTTCCCCACAAAGCAGGGCAATAATGTAAAAACCCTATGCCGCAGGTAATAGACTGTAACCAATGAGATTTGTCTTACCATCATGAAGACACCTGTAAATTGACAGCAGAATTCTTTTTTCCAGTTCTAAAAAGTATTCCGTGAATCTACAGTGAGTATAATGATATAAAATTTTAAATATTACATTATAAAGCATTATAGTATTATAAAGCTGCTAAGTTCTCATCTCTGTCCACTTCCTTATAACATGAGAAAAGAGATATTATGATGAGAAAGAAAGGCAATACTTTTA